ACGAATCCGAGTGGAGCGCATGAAAACTGGAAGGGTCTTAATCCACTCGGCCCCCCCGAAGAAAGGAGAGGGTGCGACGCAGAATTTTCGTCACAACATATTACTAACTTTAAGATTGCACATTGAATTTTCTTTACCTACATTGTTATTTGTCTTAAATTTTCATTATACGCTGCACACGATTTGGTTTTGCCATGAAATTAGTAGAATAAGTAACAAAGTACAAGTTATAAAGCGGAGACCCTTTCACCAAGGGCAGGCAAGCTGGCATCGCCGCCCACGCTTAGATAGGTATTTTGAAATAGGAGAGAAAGGGTCACACCGCACGAAGCTACAAGCCAAGAAGATATCGGAAGGTCGATCTCTTCTCCCGTGGACCACGAACCCGAACAGACGCATTTCTTAACAAGCGGCAATTGACCAGCTAGCAGTGAGAATTTATCCTAACCTAAGTGGGAAACTTAAGCCGGTATATATAAAATGTCGTCCACAACGACAAGCAAGTGGTGGTCGCTATATTAGCTGAGCTTGAGCCGAAAATATAACGGCACACAAGCAATCTTGCTTCCCCAGCATCATCCAGCGCCAACGGCTACAGTGGACACACTTCATATATAGAGTGCATGAAATGGTCCACTCGAACAAACGGAGTTTTGGCAATTATATTGATTGATTCCCTACAGTGTGCGTCCAGTCCATTTTGTCCATTTTGACAGGACCATGCCTGTCACATTTATAAATTTCTTGTAATGAACTCTGGGCAGCTGTGTTATACCCCAGCTGGAAAAATAACTTCTTCCACTTCTAAGGAGAGATGCAGTGAGTTTACCGCCACGTTCCATAGGATGGGTGAGAGGACACCCCCGACTCATGTATCTGGATTTTGCGGACGACAATCAACGTAGCACTGTTAGATCGCTCTGTTGTCCACACCCAGATCAGTGAGTCAGCGTGTTATTGTGTCTGGGGACAAGTTGTTAAAAGCGCCTTCTATATCTAAGAAGGCTATGTGAGATAACAGCATGAAGTGCCGTCTCAGTTGATCTGCCTTTGCAGTAGGCATGGGAGCGCCATAGCTCCGAGAGCTGGACTTTGTTATGGAAGTAGAAGCCTACTAGTCTCTCCAGCGTCTTCAATAGGAAGGACCAGAGACTTATAGGCCGAAAGTCTTTTTTGGTTATATATGAGGACTTACCTGCTTTGGGTATGAAGACCACTTTTGATCTTAGCCATGATTTCGGAATGGTTCCGGAGGATAAATTTCAATATCTCCTGCGTGATTTGTATGGTTTAAAACTTCTTATTGACCATCTGATGTTTCTGTGAGATAGCAATTCCAGAGGTACTTGGGATGAAGTCGACCGCGTCTGGGCCTTCAGGTGGGATTTCTGGCAAGAGGTTTGGAAAACGGGAGCCAATTTGTGAGTCAAGGGTTTCTAGCCGCATTTGGTTTCTCGTTTCTTAGAGATAATTCAAATTGAATATATCTGTGGTTTGAGAATGAATTTTCAGAAAGAACTTTCCATTTCTTAATGCTATATGATGCGATGGTGAGGTTTAGAACCTGGCTACGGTTCTTTGCAACGAAAGTGGGATCTGATCCCGAGTTGCAAAGCAATAAATTGGTAGAAAGAATATAGTTAAACAATAACTCACACCAGTGCTTCCCCACGGAGTATGATGAGCGTTTGTGTTGCAGCCTATTAGGAGATCAATCTTTCTCCGTTTGCTGTCCTCAATGATCTGCCTCGTCATCTGGGGAGGAGGGAGGTCTCAATACATGCCGCAGTATTATCGCAATCGCGTAAATTAGGAAGCAGAAAAATGTTCATATCTTTCCTAGTTAAAATGCGACGAAGCAGGAGACCAGCGGATGCTGCTTTACAGTGGGGGCGATTTATCTGAAGAAATCTTAGGGGCATCTTCCAAATTAAACTCCACACTATAGAGCCCTCTAGCGAGCTCAGACGTCTCCGAGATATATTCTTCTAGGATATCCTCGTCATCAATGGCATCCACCGTCCCTGGGCTTAGGGGGATGAACTGTTCTGTTTCTTCGGGTTTCTCGCTCTGAGTGGTGTTCTTGCCACTCATCGCGTCTCCGCGGTAGTCTCGTACGGTTACTGTTGTAAAGAAGTTATTTTTCCAGCTGGAGTATGACTCAGCTGTCCAGAGTTCCTTACAAGAAAACTTTTTTGTGACAGGACCATGGGACAAGAGGGACTCCATGTCTACTTTAGGGGATCAGTCGCCGCGTGGGCTGTGTCTTGGCGTTATATCGGTCGGCTCGTGCGCTGCTAAATATAACACCCAATTCTTGCTTGCTGTTGCAGTCGCATCTTACATATATACCGACTCAAGCCTGCTATATGTAAGTTCCGCTCATAGCGACAGGGTTGTTTAGAGAACAATAATTAAGTATGCACTGAAATATTCCTCACAATGTCTTTTATTTATAATCTCTATGCTATTGTCGTAGTTAGATTCCTCGTGTTCTTTAGAGACATTAGTAGCATCAAGTGGACTGGGTTCCGTAGTCGTAGTAGTAGTAGTGGGCAATGGTGTGTTGGTCGGAGCTGCAGCCATGCGCACCGCGTTCGGCGCATCGCAACTCGCAGGCCATCCTGAGCTGGGCAATGGTGTGTTGGTCGGAGCTGTAGCCATGTGCACCGCGTTCGGCGGATCGCAACTCGCAGGACATTCTTGGCGCGGCATGTAGAATGTGGTTGAGCTTGCGTTGATGCCGCGGCCATATGTTGTAGTTGCAATTGTATGCGGACTGCTTGGTGAGGTACCGACGAAAGATGCGGCCATAGGCGTTCACCTTTGACCACGCTGCTTGACGCTTTCTAACTCGCCAATGAGTCGGATAAGGTGAGGCAGCGTTCGGAACTCGTGGCGGCGTACGTATAGCTGGAACTCCGGTAGCATATTCTTGTAGATGCGATTCAGTTCTTGGGAATCCGTGTAACCTGCATTTCCTTACGCGCTCTGGAGTGGAGACATGCGGCCTGATAGGCTCTCTATGGAGTTCATGCAGCGCAGAGCCAGGTGGTCCGTCTCGACTGTGAACTTGTATCCCTCCAGATAATGGCGTTGCTTGCGAATGCCCAACATAATGATTTAGCATTCTTTTTCTGTGGCGCTGTAATTCAATTCGACTTTTTTCAGCTTCCGATTGGCGTAGAAAATTACGTGTTCCAGGTCATCCATGTTTTGCGCAAACACTGCAGCTAGCCCGTATTCATTTACGTCGGTCTGCAGGCATAGGCGCTGGCTGAGGTTGGGATAATCCAGAATAGGAAACTACATAAGCTGTTGTCGGAAACTGTCGAGCGTGTGGTGTTGCGGTGGTTCACAAGCCCATTTCTTGCCTTTCTTCAGCAGGTCGGACAGTGGCCCAACAGTCGTCGCAAACCGCCTGTACTATGAGGCCATGCCGATGTATTGCCGCAGCTGTTTTAAATTCGGGAAAAATTCAAAAAAATAAAATAAGCTGGTCCTTTCTCGGACCTAGGATAATCTGGATACCAACTTCTGTTATTCCAGATTGTATAGTTTTTGAGATCCTTGCGGATCTCCTCCAGACAGACGGACGGACCCGTATACAGGTGTTCTGTATCTCAGAGACTATAAGACCGAGAGACACCAAATTTTGTATACAGATGCTCTATGTGAGTACGCTATACGAATTTGTTTTATTTTTGTATACACACCTAAAAAAATAAATATGAAAATACTGGACTGCTAGATTTAATTTCATGCTCTGGCAACACTGTCGCTGTTAGCCTATGTCATCACCACTGTTACTAACAGTTGGCTAGAAATGGAAGTTCGAAAAAAGGAAATCTTTCGAAGTTCTATGGCATCGATGAATTTTTTAAGATATTTCAGAAACATCCGAAATCTCTGGAGTTTACGAGCCACCCGTGTATACATGTGTCCGTATGCCAAGTTTCATCTTCGTGAGATCTTTACGGTCATACAGATAGATTTATTCTCATCCTGATTATAAAGATATACCTATGTATATATTGTGAGGACTGACACGCCTTCTTTTGTCAGTTAACTACATTCGCATTAAACTAGTGTACACTTTAACTCTTTCGTTTTTGCGTTCCACCATTCCAAAATCTTTCCTTTCTCAATATACTTACTATTAAATCCTTCATGTACGGGGTATAAAAATACCCACTTGTCCCTAAGTTGACTTGACTTACGACAACATATATGCCAAGTTGGGTTATTCTCTTAAACATTCTGAGATCTTTGTGTTCATACAGGTAGGCGGACATGGCTATATCGACACGTCTGATCATTCAAATTAAAAATATACATATGTATGTATATACTTTATAGCCACCATGCCAAATATATTCCCACTAAGCTAGTATTCCCGTTAACCACTTGCGTACAGGGTATAATAAAGCGATGCATTATTCTCAAATCTTTCTTTCTATGCAATAGTCCGAATCTTACAGCAAAAATTTCGTGTTCCTTTTCCACCGTTCCAAAATTTTTACTTGTTACATTGTACTCTGCGATTGAACAAGTGATTTTTCCTACGAACTGTGGCATGAGTTTGCTTTAGTTTTTTTGTGTTTGGCGTCGTTGTTAATTTCAGTAAAGAGTAACAGTTATAACGAATGCAAACAGGGTTACGCAGGGAACAAACTAAGCGGTATTACACTGAATGCTCCCTGTCTTGAAAGTTGTACATGGCTCACGAGTTTACACATAAACAAGTTCAAGCTCGGGCTAAGCCAAATATTTGATTGCATTTAAACGAAGCAATACCTAAAAGTCACAATACAATCATCCAAGAGCTAGTTAAAACGTCATATTGCATTTCTTAATTTAGAATTTGTGAATGTTAGCTAGCATAAACTAGATATTTAATGACTGTTCTTGGAACGTTTTGTATCAAAGTGGGTCGAAATTTATCGATTATTTTTTTATTATTTCGTTTGGTTTTCATATGGCGGCGAGTGCATTCCAGGTTGGTACAATTGATAGCATGTTGTAAGGCGATGGCAATCTTTGTTTTACTGTGACTTTATACCTTGTTTAAAGTTGGACAAAAAGTGAAGTATGTTGTGTTGAATTAAAGAAATATTTGATGTGACAAGTCATCATATAATAACCTCTTATTTTTTAAGGTCTCGATAGCATCCATTTATTTTGAAAACAGAAAAATAAACCGCAGCATAATGATGACGGAGAAAGTTTCATCTGGCCACGCGAATATGGTGACAAAAGGGTATGTTTGGTTTGTTTTCATTTACAATAACCAGAAGCTTTCTATTTTAATGCGCGTGTGCATTTTATATACATATGTATTTGATAATATATTTATCCCTACATAACCATATGGATTGACTTAATGTGTTTTGCTTTAATATGTGTAGTACACACATACATATGTACGTACATATGTATATGTGTACACAAAGTATGCATTCATATAAAAGTAAATAAATGTATACTTACATATATGTATATGTATGCCTATTGCAGAACTCAAACATTTTAAAAATATTGGCCTGGTTTGTTTTGCCTATTGCAAATACGATGGCATCGTATTTCGAACAGCTGCTTCAAATGTATGCATATAATAAAAAAAAAGTAAATGCAGAATTATATAAAAACCTTTTTTTTGTGATGTTATTGTTTGTGTGAGACCGGCCGGAAAAGTAGTTGCGTTCTTTTTCGTTTGCTCACGCGGCGAATCCCGTAGTCTAAGATTTCCGTTATTTTTTTGGCTTTCATACCAAAAAATGGGGACTACCACCGAAAATCCCACTATTGGCCTGCTATGGTGCAATGGTCCGAAGCACAAGCTTTTTGGGGGCTCACCTGGGATCACTCCCTCTTGGTAATAATGTTATAGCAATAAGGTATCAACGTGAAGGATAATTTGTCTTTGAAGAAAATATTTACTTCCCCATTTTCATTTTTATCCTCTAAAAACTAAAATACTTAAGAAAGAAAGAAAAAAAAAACCTTGTATGGTTATAAAAAAATTCAGAAAAAGGGATGCTATAGCCGATCACGCACACACAGCCCACAGCTTTCAAAAAACTAATTTAGTAAAATTGTCATTTACATAATTATACTCTGTACCGCGTATGTATGTAATACACAGAAGGAGATGTGACAGACCCCACAAAATATATGCATGTATATTCTTGATCAGTAATGCAAGATATAGCCATGTTCCTCTGCCCGTCCATGCGCCATGCGTCCAAGAATACCGGAAAGTATACGAGCTAGATTAACCAAACTTGGTGATTATATTTCCCTATAAGCGACCGCCGTGTGCACTTCACTTCCCTATTAGTAGTATTTTTCAACAACCGCCGTAATTCTTGTAACTATTAACCCTAATTGAACAACCAAAAAAAAAACTTTGTTTTTTAAAAAAATTATTAAAAATAAATAATTATTTTGTTGGGTGTGCTACTCTGCTTTTTGTTGCTAAACACGTAAATATGTACCACAGGTACAGGGCATATTGTATTCAAATATTTTTTCAAATTCTTTTTCGATAGTCATCGCTATTGAAAATATATTTTTTTAGAGAATTTAATACACAAATTTTATGCTACCGTTTTTTCTTTTAATTCTAATGTTCTCTTTGTGAATTTTAGGATTATCCATGATCATAAAATAGTCAGTAATCATAATGATGATATGGGCTGGAAATCTAAGCTAAAGCTTCCCCCAAAAGACAACCGATTCAAAACAACTGTAAGTTTCCGTTTTATTTTAATATATTCTTTACATATGCATACAAGTATTTCAGCTACTACAATTGATTGAAAAATTGCAATTTTTAACAAATAATTTTTTATATGAGTAGTGAAGCATTTTTATAGCCTGTACCCAAAGGGTGAAAGGCTATACTAGGTTTGTGCGAATGTATGTAACACACAGAAGGAGGAGTGGCAGATCCCACAAAGTATATATATCCTTGATCAGGGTGACAAGCCGAGTCGATATAGCCATGTCCGTCCGTCTGTTTGAGGGCAAGGATCTCAGAAGGTAACCGAACTTGGTATCCAGATTCCCATAAGCCCTAGGCAGGTAAAGTTTATTTTTTTATTCTGATACACCTCCCCCCCCCCACTCCCCCGCAATTCGTGTTTTTTTTTCATAACTCCCGTAATTCATGGAATTAGGTAGCTACATCCCGTTAGTGATTATGTGTATGCCAAGTTTCATCATGTTAGGTCAATTCTGAAGAAAGCTATAGCCATAAATAAAATCGCTGTCCATGCGCTGCCGGCAGCGCTGCCCGCAGCTGTTGTTGTTGCTGCTTGGATTCAACTTTGTGCTGCATATAAACACGCAGAGACCCGATTCTGATGTAAATGTATTATGTTGAAACTGTACATGAACATGTCTCCACTTTTGTATATATGTATTGAATAATTTGTATTTAATTAAATTAAATAATTTATTAATATAATTTTTTTTTTTTTTTTTGGAGGTACAGGGTATTTTAGAGTTGAGCTCGCTCGCTTTCCCTCTTGTTTTTTGTTGGATCGTTTGATCATATTTGCTTATCACATTTCCCAAACTATTTATGTGTTTTGGTGCTGTTTCTAAGTTAGGATTTATATTGAATACATTATTAAAGTTTTCTACTGTAGTTGTTTTTACACATTGTGCCTGAAGGGCAAAAATGGTACATTAGGTTTGTGCATATTATATACACTGCCCAACACCGATTAGCACACTAACCTTTCAGTGTAAATGATGTTCATGATTAATCATCTTTTATTGACTTCTGCCTATCGAATAAACCAAAAAGTGAGAGCGTGTAGTTTTTTCAAATGAAAAAGTTAGTTTTGATGAGATGCTATTCCTTTCTATACCTTACATGTCGTATGTCGTATGAATGCGAAGGATAGTAAATTATAGGATTAGTAAATTATATTACACATCAATTCTATATAAAGAATTTGGAAAATACAGAAATCCGCATAAGATTTTATTATGGGGATAATCTTCACTAAGTTTGATCATTCCTATTTTTATACCCTGTACACAAAATGAGAATGGTCTAGTGCATTGTGACTCTGCGTGTGTGTTTGTTAATTGTAATTGTAATGGCAATTGTAAATGTTTATACTCTGTACATGAAATGTACAACTATGGCTTTCCGTTCTTTTCTAATGCACCCCTCTATTAGTGATTTCTCATAACTCCGTTCGCATAAACAGAGCTTAACAGACGCTATGAGAGTTAGAGACAAATACAGATACCTTACATGTATGTGCAGTACAAGGTATTTGAAGCTTTTCCTTTCCCGCCATATATCACGTAGTTATTTGAATTTTGTCATCAAAGTTTGCAATAACTTCCTGTCTGTGGGTTATGTCCGTATGTCAATCTTCATCTTTATAGATCAATTTTATAGAAAGTTATAACCACATATTTTATACTAGGTCAATTCGTACAATAATTTTTTTATTATAACAATTTTGTTTCTTGTTTGTTTTTGTTAAATCTTAGTGATATTAAATAAAAAGTTCTGGGTTTCTGGATACCGAGTTTGGTTATTCTAGCTCTTGTACCTTCGGAGATCCTTGCGCTAATACAGACAGACGGACGGACATGGCTATATCGACTTGGCTTGTCACCCTGATCAAGAATATATGTACTTTGTGGGGTCTGCCACGCCTTCTTCTGTGTGTTACATACATTCGCACAAAACTAGTATAGCCTTTCACCCTTTGGGTACAGGCTATAAAAATAAAATAAATGTAGGACAGTTCTAAACGTAACGCCACTATTTGTCAACCAGTTTCGGAAACCTGAGCAAAACCAAACCCAATAAAAACAAAATTATAGACCGCACTGATATAGTGGAGTCTTACATGGTCACTCTAGTCTGTGTCTGTCAAAGAGATCACTGAATGAAAAGTTTTAAGGGGATAGTTCTAAAACGCCATTTATATATGTACTTATATCGTGTGGTCTGCAATTCTTCCATCTGCTTGCTACAAACAAACTCACCAAAAACAATATACCGTTACACTTTTTACTGTTATACTAACTTTTATTTTGGAAATACTGTCTTCCAACTGAAACAACTGAAATGGATAGATTCTATACACCTAATTCTGTTTTTACACTGTCTTTTTTTACACGATTTTGATATAACACGGTTTGAAAATAAAAAATTGCATATATATTTCTTCAGAGATAAGGAACCAATCACCTTTTTTTGCATATGATCAATGTATTTTTTTACACGGTTGTTTTTGGAACCAATCTACCGTGTAAAAACCGTATTAGGTGTATATTCCTTGAATAAAATTTAATAAATCTAAGTACACCCTTCGTGTTGTTAGGAGTAGTGTGAATATTGGAGTTAATTTTAAAATCAAACTTTTGCTTTAAGCACCCCATTCACAGGCGAGCATGTTGGCCGAACTTGCTCGGCAGCACAAATACATTTGACCACTAACGGGGCGAACATTGTTTGTGAACATCATTTGACAAAGTTTTGACAAGTACGGACGTTTAAATGGATGCGAACGAAAATACAATTTTTGATTTATGGCGATTCAAATATGTATTCTTGATATTTTTTTAAATAATATATCACATGCTTTATTGTTGCTTTTGTTTTTCCATAACGACGGCTCATTGTGCAAAAAATCGAGCACTAATTCTTTGCTAATTTTCACAATTGTTGTGGCAGCACTGTTGGCACGAACAGCAGTAAGATAGAAACAATTCTATTCTACACTAGCGAAACGTCGAGCACTCCAATTCAAACCGAGAACAACAAATTCGGCCAACACGCTCGCCTGTGGATGGGGTGCTTTAAAAATATACCATAATTGTTCATGATCTATGAAGTTAATAAACAAATTTAATTTTTAGGATGTTACCGATACGAGGGGAAACGAATTTGAAGAATTTTGCCTTAAAAGGGAACTTCTTATGGGCATTTTTGAAAAAGGATGGGAACGCCCGTCACCAATTCAAGAAGCTGCTATTCCTATTGCTTTGAGTGGAAAAGATGTACTGGCACGTGCTAAAAACGGAACCGGAAAAACTGGAGCATATTGTATTCCAGTTTTGGAGCAAATTGATCCGACAAAAGACTTTATTCAAGCACTTGTAATGGTCCCTACTAGGGAACTGGCTTTACAGACTTCACAAATATGCATTGAGCTCGCCAAGCATCTAGACATCAGGGTGATGGTTACAACTGGAGGAACCATTTTAAAAGACGATATTCTTCGTATTTATCAAAAAGGTATTTTTTTAATACTCCTAATCAATAGATCAATTGTAATATGTGTATAATTATTCCTGTATTTTTTTCTAGTGCAATTAATTATCGCAACCCCGGGACGCATTTTAGATCTGATGGATAAGAAAGTTGCAGATATGTCGCACTGTAAAATTTTGGTTTTAGACGAAGCTGATAAATTGCTTTCTCTTGATTTTCAAGGCATGCTGGATCATGTTATATTAAAACTACCAAAAGATCCCCAGATTCTACTATTTTCTGCAACGTTTCCATTGACTGTCAAAAATTTTATGGAGAAACATTTACGTGAACCATATGAGATTAACCTAATGGAAGAACTAACGTTAAAGGGTGTGACTCAATATTATGCATTTGTCCAAGAACGACAAAAAGTTCACTGCTTAAACACATTATTTTCAAAATTGCAAATTAACCAGTCTATTATATTTTGCAACTCGACGCAACGCGTTGAATTACTAGCAAAGAAGATCACAGAGTTGGGCTATTGCTGTTATTACATACATGCTAAAATGGCTCAAGCGCACAGAAACAGAGTATTTCATGACTTCCGTCAAGGACTTTGCAGAAATTTAGTATGCTCAGACTTATTCACTAGGGGTATCGATGTACAGGCTGTCAATGTTGTCATAAATTTTGATTTTCCCCGAATGGCGGAGACTTATTTGCATCGAATTGGACGTTCCGGTCGTTTTGGTCACTTGGGTAAGTACATAATCATAATATTTATGTTTATTATTAACCTACAACCCTTGCGACTGCATGTAGTTAAATTTACTTGAGTTCATCTAAGCCCAAACTTGTTAAAAACAAATTTCGGCTTTGTACTTTTAGTTCTCTTTGTGGCTAAATAGTTATATGGGCTAGAGGTGTTGCATTGGTAGGGATTTTGTTTATTGATTTACTGATTTAAAACTATTCAAAACAAGAAAGGTAAGCTTGAGTCAAGTGGACCCAACCCACTAAATACCCTGTACGCACCTCCACAAAAACAAAAGGCAATTTTATACTCAGTACATGGAATGTACAAGAGTACATAAAGTTTCGGCTCCCCCGATAATGGGGGGAGGTTTGTGCGAAGTATGTGACAGGCAGAAGGAGACATCTCCGACCCCATAAAGCATATATATATTCTTAATCAGCATGACAAGAGAAATTCGATCTAGGCATGTCCGTCCGTCTGGATGAACGCAAGGATCTCAAAAACTATACAAGCTGTAATACCAAAAGTTGATATCAAGATTATCCTAGGTCCGAGAAAGGACGAGCTTATTTTATTTTTTTTTAATTTTTCCCCCTTCCCCCGCTTCAGAATTTCGTCAATACTGTCTTAATATCAAAATATACAAAAACCAAACTTTGCACACGTAATCTTTATACAATTATCTACATACTTTTATTTTATTTAAATCGGTCAATTCTAAGAATACCTTTTAGCGAAAAAGTTCAAACCAGTGCTATGCCCATTAGCTGCAGCATCAAGTTCGCTCGTCTCGGAAGTTTGGCTAGGTACAGGGTATTTCACTGTCGGGCTTACCCGACTGTAGCATTCTTTCTTGTTTTATTTGAAATCGTAGTCAGCTAAAAATTGCTTACATGTTTTCTTTCGTCTTTTGTAGGTATTGCCATTAATCTAATAACCTATGAAGACCGCTTTGACCTACATCGTATTGAGAAGGAGCTTGGAACAGAAATAAAACCAATTCCCAAAATAATTGACCCTGCACTATATGTTGCCAATATCAGTGGATGTTCGGGAGAAGCATGCAGCAACAGTGATTTAAATACTTCTACGAATGAGGAAGGCAATGTTAGCAAGTAACAATTAAAACGTAAAAGAAATAGGAATGAATTCTTAAAATACTTAATTAAGTTGTATGCAAAATAAAAAAGAATGAAAATAATAAAATAAAATAATGAGTATATAACGATGCAATTGTTTATAATTAAACATAGCATAGCCGATATTGAGGCATTGAAAAAACTCAATTGATAAATCAAAACCAATATTCATTCGTGAATGGAACGCAATTTTTGCACTGACGACTGTTAATTGGACACGAAAACTGCTACAACATTCACTATTTCTTAAAAGTTTTGCAGAGGCATTGGTAAGATTCTGTCATCTCTTGAGGTCGTTAAGGTAGCAAAAGAACTATGGGCTGACTGACTTTGTCCGCGTCCAAGAGTTTTCCTAAAATGATGAAGACTATCAAAACTAATGAAAAGCCTACATGCATCTAGAGGTTTCCGCCAGAGAACTGCAACGAGTATGTTCGACCACCCTGCTGCAAACGATCTCGAACGAGTTGAATACTCTCAGTATTTTTCTTATGATCGAACTTGAATGAGCAATCTTTCTATTTTTACGAACAAGCACCGGTTTTGTTTGGTTTGCTTTCAAACAGTTCAGACTCGGTCACTTCGTTTAAGATGACTGGGTCCTTATCGAAACAAACCAGACTTTGCTGAATGAGCGTTTGATCGAACGAGTATAGTACCATTATTGCGAGTATTGCGCAGGTTTTTCCCGAGTATGTTTCGAGTGTTGCGCGGGTTTTACCCGAGTATGACCGTATATTAAATATTTTAAATAAAGAGGTACAGAATGAAAACAAAACATATGTATATATATTTTATTTTTATCTATTCTAATATTATAAAGAGGAAAGATTTGATTGTTTGTTTGAATTGAAAAGGCTCCGAATTTACTGGACCGATTTAATAGATTATTTCACTGTCGACGGTTAACATGGGCTATATTATATTTGTAAAAAAGAGTGGAATGCTTACTAAAACGCCAATAATTTAACCAAAGGTGTAATTAATTACCTTAAACTCCTGAATAGCATGCTGTTAGTTCATAATCATCCTAGAAACATTGTAACTTTAAATATTAAGGCAATATTATTCAAAAGCCCCCAGACAAATAAAAAAGAAGTAAAAAAGTTAAGGTCGGGTGTCCCGACTTTGAAATACTCTGTACATATGTTTACAATAATTATAGAAAATAAAAAAAAATTGTTGATCGATTTTACCTTTCTCGGTATTCGAACTCACGTAAAGGGTGTATAATGTAGTAGTGGCGCTTGTAGCTATATTTCTGATTAAGGCATAGTTTGAGAAGCGCTGGGCTCAATACCGCCACCTAGCTGACGATAGCGTAATTTGCTGTGGGTTGCAATGGGAGTTATAAATTGGAACGAGGAAAATTTAATATTTTTCTTTACCTGCGCCAAGGACAAGGGGTAAGATTTTAATGCAGCGGTTACGGTGTAGTCAGTCCATATATGTATAAAAATTGGTTACAGGACTTGGCGCGTAATACCCAATAAATTTTATTGGTGGCCTGCAGCAGTTAATATTGCGATAAAGCAAATTCTAAAGAGGCAACTGGTAGTGGCTCAATTCCCTGCATTTGAATTTGTCCGCGCATGAGCAGCGTACTTTGAACTTTGAACCCCCCTGGAAAAAAGGGGGGAGGAACAAAAGAGCGCAACCACTTAGCGGCACCGGCGTACGGAAAGAATAGCGACATTGCCGAATTAGTGCAAGTGCAGCGTTACCGCCGCATATTTGTCGGCCCGCGACTAAGCGAAAATAAATACTGTTTAAGTTCTAGTGTTAGCTTTTTTTTTGCTCAAAGAAAGAAGAATGTATTGCGTGTATTTATATATAAGTATTCTAATGATTCTTTATTATTAATGTTATTTTTTTCCCCGTCAAATAATTCTGCTATGCGAAGGCAGAAGTGAATTGTGCTTAGTTTTTTCTGTGTTAAATTATTTTGTTTGTTGTGAGCGAATTTTCAGATAGGCATAACAATGCCACATATTCAGCCCACCGCCCAAATGGAAGCGCTTTCATCACCGGCTAAGAGTGGGGTAAGTTTGTGACTTGTCTTTTTTATCCAAACGCTTTTGTTAATGTCCAAGCTTCTGCGCTAAGCAATGTCAAGCCAGAAAGAAATATTTAATACGGCATTAATTTACTGCCTGCTTGTGTGCCTTCGCATCAGAAGAGCTAAATAGAGAGCCGAATAATTTTTGCAAGAGTACTGCTCTAACGCGGATAATGTCCAGTTATTCTGGTCGATTTCGTAAACTCTTACAATTATAACAAGAGAGAACGCTACAGTCGAGGAAGCCCGACAGTGTAATACCCTGTACGCAGGGTATATGCGCCCATAGCAGCAGCAAAAAGAGGAGGAAGAAGAGCGAACTTGTTGCTGCAGTTTGGGGGGTTGTACTGGCGTGAATTTGTTTTTCTAATAACTTTTCTTAGAATTGAATGAACAACAGTAGACAATTATATATAAATTATGTGTGCAAAGTTTGGTTTAGGTAGCATTTGAAATGTGGACGCTATTGACGAAATTCTGTAGCGGGGGAAAATTAAAAAAAAAAAAATAAACTCGTCCTTTCTCGGACATAGGAGAATCTGGATGCCAACTTTGGTTATTCTAGCCTTTATAGTTTCTGTGATCCTTGCGTTCATCCAGACGGACGGACATGTCTAGATCGATTTCTCTCGTCATGCTGATTCAGAATATATATACTTTATGGGGTCGGAGATGCTTCCTTCTGCATGTTAGATACTTTGCACAAACCTAATATACCCTTTTTACCCTACGGGTACAAGGTATAAAAATTTCTCTTAAGTTTTTTTTTCACATTCTTTCATACTTCTTTTTGCATAAGCAATAATCAAATACAGCTAGAGTATAAAACACAGCTGTTCTAAAATCTATTTGTTTGTACTTGTGCCATATGATTTGTTTGTCTGTTTATTAGCTATTAAGTAACTACGGAATAAATATAAGTCAACATTGAACTCATGCTGGCCAACGCTTCTGTGTAGGGTTTAAAAAAAAGGGGTCATCCGTATATATTAATAACTTATTTTCAGCTTGGCAATGATGACCATGGTTGGGTGGGCGAATTTAATCCACAAGCACAACAGTGGTTATAGCACATAGCACATAAACGCCATCTTCAACCTATTCTACGTATATCTACTTTATTTTTCGGTGTGTCCCTAATTTTCTATTAGCTAGCAACTAGCACACTCCCTTTATTTTTTTAATATTGTAATGTAATAGTTAGAGTAGCACCCGACATATTTATTTTTGAGATGGATGGATTCCCACCCCAAAGCCGACGAGCTAGAGCCGGAAAACTGAGCGTGCGCCAGTCTCAGACAGTTAAACAGTCCTTGGTAGCCGCTGAGCAAGCGATTAGACGTTACACGCTACATAGGTAGTGATTTTGCTGTGCATTGAAGATTATATAAATGTTTCCCGTTTCATAGTTACATCGAGAGACAACATTAAAGCCAACAAAAAATTGCCAAGCCGACAAACAAGAAGATCCAACTAAGGAATAGCACAGTGACGAGCGGTCACTTTTACTATAAGAAAAAACACTACACGACAATAAGTAAAAGACATGTAAGTAGAGTCCCTATTTAATAGAATATTTTCACAAAAAAAAAAAAACATAAAAATAATTTTAAGCGGGTGTTTATAAAATAGGCCCTTGCAAACCTACAAAATTTTGAACCTAAGATAAAAACCCATATGAGTGATAGTGAACTAGAGGAGCTAGTATGCGGTTTGGATACGATCCCAGCTGAATTAAAAAAAAATCAGAACTAAAAAGGCGAGAATTGGTGGTCCGATCAAAACACAACTACAAAAATGTCTTTTAACGAGTCCGATATAAAAATCCTGGTCGAGATTGCAGTAAACACTGCATTCGCAAATCAAGCCCAAATGTTTGAGAAGAAATTAAAAGAAATATAAACTAAATTTTCTAGCACAACGGTAACTGTACTTGAGGTAGAGATATTTAGGGATGCCGAAAAATTACCGGGCATACAAAGTAGTTAGACATTGGATATTGTAAAATCCGTACCCGGCTAGGGGTAACATGAGACATACGTTTCATGACGCAAAGCCGCCCATACGGCATATAAAATGTTCCAAAATTACTATTTAGGTATAATCAGAAATAAGATAAAAGGCCCTGCCGATATGGTGCTGACTTCATACGATACACCACTAAACTTTAAAGCAATCATTAACAGACTTGACTTTACGTATGCAGATAAACGCCCAATTTACTTAATCGAACATGAGTTGTGGACTTTAAGTCAGGGAAACTTAACAATAACACAATACTACGAGGAGATCGGGCAGAAGCTTACGCTCCTCATAAATAAGGCAATAATGACGTACGAACCAAGGTACCATTGGTTGCCTCCCTTAACGAAAAATATAGAACAGATGCCTTGAGAGGCACCAAAAAGCTTGTTGGTGTTCATATATGCCCCACATCGCTGAATTTCATCGAACTGTCAATGTCAAACGCACTTGACCGTATCATGAGATACGCATGGGCCACGCATGTGCATATGAAGCCAACGCAGGCAGCTATTGTTAGAATAGCGGCCGCGCATGTGCACAAAACAACCTACGCTGGATATGCACGCACCGACTCAGCTAGCTGCATACAACACTCCAGCAACGATTTATTTTAAGAATCACATTAGTAATAATTAGACTACCGCAAACTCAAATACTGTATGTTTATATACATTGCACATCGTTAATAAAGGTAGAACAAAAAGAAGAAAGAAAGCTCTTATGATCTCAAATTCCCTGTTCAGCTTCTCCGAATTACCCTTGGTTCAAGTACTGATTGTAAAAATACCCAGCTACTAGTTTATTACTGGGGACTAACTCAACAAACAACAACACATTGATTTTAGGAAATTAAATGAAATAACGATAAATGATAATTATCCTCTCCCTTTGATTAACGATTTGTTAGACAAATTACTGAACAAGAAAATATTTTCTAAATTGGAATATTTCCATGTCTTAGTTGATAAGGAGTCAGTCAAATACACGTCATTTACGACCCCGTTG